AATACTTGAACACTGTCAAGAATGATCACCAGTTCAAGGTAAACTCTGGTGGAAACAATATTAAGGCACTGAATGGACACTAAATTTTGGCTTGAATTTTTTTTAAGAAAAAAAAAGAAACATAGATAACAAATTCTCACTACCACCTTATAATTATTTTTAAAATTACTAATTTTTCAACATGGGTAGTATTTATTAATATTTACATTTCCGATAAATTTCCCCTATGATTCTTTTCAAAATAAAATGCAGTATATTTTCTCATGAACTACATTAGGTATGTATCACGAATAAGCATGAATATCTCCATTGTGTCGTCACAATACTTCTTTGGACGTCAAAAATTATAGGCACACAGATTTGTTTTAAAAATGACAGTTGAACAGCGTAAACTTATGGCAAGTCATCAAAAAAATAATGTAAATATAAGAAATGAATTCAATTTTTTGAAGATTCATGAGGCATATGAACTACAACGCTTCATGCCGGCATATATATCATGAAGCGCCAACTTGCTTCATGAAATATGCCGGTGTGAAGCGTCGTAGTTCATAACCTCATGAACCTTCAAAACTTAAATTCATTTCTTAAATGTATTATAATAATATAATTTGTTTTTTAAAAAAAATAGGCTATCTTGTTTATCTTTATTTTTTGTAGTTGATTTAGACTATTGATTATATAAAACACATAAAACATTAATTAACAACACGAACATCAATATTACCTCTTAATTCTACTTGTAATCTTTTTTAATTACATTTTACGATACTTTATTTTAGCCAGGAACCTGTATAGTGATATTCTTCTACACGATCAACACAAAAACACATGCATATCTGTATGATATATGTAAGAGTTTCCTTTCTGCAATTTTTTACAAACAAGTTGTACTACTACTTTTATTAACAATGTTAATATCCGGATCCTTTATTAACATACCGGTTCTGAAACGACTGGCGGAACTATAGATACAGGAGTTGCACTAATGTTGTGAACAAACTATAACGTTTCCTTCCCCCGAGTATATTAAATAAATAATATTTTCTATTATCTTGTAACACTAGTAAAATGTAGCAGTGACTTGTTCTTCTCCGTGTGACGCTTATAAACAGTAAATAAACTGCGCAGTATTAAGTTGCGCCGAAACACTCTGCAATAATGCTGTATGAATAAATATTCTAAAGGTTGTTATTATTCAGATAAATTCTACACTTTTCAAACCTTACATAATGAAACCAACGATCAGCAATGATCAATGAATATGTTTGTTTCCGTACCGCGTTTCTGAGAAAATCTTCCACTACTCCACATCAAAAATGGCGAGTGAGCCTCGTTTTTGGAAAATTGGTATAGGCCCACCGCGCCCGATTGAAAAAACAAATAAAAAAACTCAGCACTCTTGCTTTTATTCCTGACGTACACAAACTAAACAAAAATTGATTATGCATCAAAAATGCAGAATCACTCACTTCCTGAGGGTGCCTCTATATAACTATAACCAATAATTGCTTTGCTGTTCTTGAGAAGAATTTTTAAAAAGATTTTTCCAATGTATTTCTATGTTCAAATTTGATCCATCATTGTGGCCCCACTCTACCCCAGGGGGGCATGATTTCAACAAACTTGAATCTACACTATGTGAGGATGCTTCCACATGAGTTTCATGTTTCCTGGCCCTGTGGTTCTTGAGAAGAAGATTTTTAAAAGATGCCATTAATTTCTCATTAATTCATAATTATCTCCCCTTGGAAGAGGGTGTGGCCCTTCATTTGAACAAATTTGAATTATCTGCACCTAAGGATACTTTGTGGCAAGTTTGGTTGAAATCGGCTCAGTGGTTCTTGAGGAGAAGATGAAAATGTGAAAAGTTTACGACAACGACAACAACGACATGTACAACAACGACAACAACGAGGACAACGACAACAACGACAGACGACGGACAAATTTTGATCAGAAAAGCTCACTTGAGCCTTCGGCTCAGGTGAGCTAAAATGGAACTAAAAGCAGTATTACCAAAGCTAAGCTTACCAAAATGCTCAAACCCTGTGTTTTCTATTGTTACTGCAAAGAGTAAAAAAATCATAGCAATTTCAGTTTAAAATACTGTGAATACTCTATATATAAACTCGGTATAATTTGAAGGGTCTTTAAAAATGTATTTGATTATACTTTTTTTCTTACCTACAACGTCTCAGGACAAACATATTATAAATTAAAGAAATTTAAAAATAAAAGAAATTTAAATATATATATGATAAAACACTGACAAATGTAAAACAAAATTTCTGAGATCTGAATGGGTTTATTGAATTCTGTATTCCGTTTGATGACTTACGTTTCAGTTCCCGTATGTCTCTGGTGTTTTGCTCTACATCTGAGATCAGCGACTCTATTTAAACAAATAGCTATACTAAAGTATACATACATGTATATAAATGTCTTGATGTTAAAGGTTTGTATACTATATACAGGGTTATTTTTGTCCTTTCATGCTGTAAAACAAATTTGCCCCGTTACATGTTACATGCTTTAAGGAATCAATCGGATTCTGAATCCATGTCAGGTTTTGATGAATCATCGGACTCTGATTCAAACGACCCGGCTAAGAAGGACAAATAAATCAAAAACTGTGTAATGCTCGAACGTCCCGGGACTTTGATTCTCGATCAGAGGACTGGAATAAAATATTACGGGTTTTTTTTCTATAACAAATATATGCATTTTTAGATTAATTCTTATATGGGAAAGTTAGAATTTATCTCAGTTAATGTCAGGGGTTTAAATACCCCCGAAAAAAGACGGAAACATTTTACTTGGTTGAAAGAATGTAATATAGATATCATTCTGTTGCAAGAAACACATTTTTTAGAAAAAAATGAATCCGTATAAAATTTAGACTGGAGAGGAAAAACATTTCACGCATATAGCGACTCGGCATTCAGTAGAGGCGTGTCTGTTCTAATTAACGAAAAAATAGATGTAAACATAATTAATGTAAAAAAGTCGATTGATGGTAGAAAAATTCTGATAAATCTTGAATTCGATGGTAATATTTTTACAATAGTGAATATGTATGCACCTACTGAAATTAAGAAGAGGTGTGAATTTTTCAAAAACTTAAGAGACCAGTCAGCATTCATATATTGGCCCAACGTTGGTAGAGTAACGGTCTGTTGGGTCAAGGTTGGTGTTGTTATAACATGATTGGGCCAACATTGGGCCAATGTTAGACATTATGCTCTTATTGCCAATATCAGCATATGTCAGTTATTCGTTGTTGGGCCAATGTTGGTCCCATGTATCTTAATCTCACATAAGTTGTCGTGATAACTTACATTGGTTTTACATTGCTGGGCCAACATTGGTCCAATGTATGTAATTTTCACAGAAATTACTATCTTAAACATTGGTTCTACATCGTTGGACTTACGTTGGCCCAATATTGAATACTGAACATAATGAACATATATGCAGGTGTACAACGATTGGGCCAGAGTTGGCAAGATAGCGTTGGCACAATGTTTCAAACTTAGCATAAAATGGTTAGACTCGTGTAGTTGGACCATTTTTGTCAAAGATATCCTGCAACAGCTGGGAGGATAATTTTACTAAAATGTTGATCATTTATGAGTATGTAACGCTACACACGGGTAACTGAATCAGTATACAACTATACATTAAATGTATCCTATAATAAGTTAATAACATTAATTTTGTCACTCCCAGGAGGGTAATAAATTAAGTTTTTGAGTTAAATAGAGGTCAGCTAGCTTTCCTCGGGTGCAAGATGTAGAGAACAGAGACAAAGGACTGAATTTTGTTTGAGGATAGACGCAGTTAAAGCAAAATATGAGTATTTCTGATTTTTTTTTTGTGTGCATGAGTATTTTAAAAGGAAATTTTCTATCAATGATCATAACATAGTGGAACAGATTTTGATCTTCAATGTAGCAAATTCGATCTGTACATGTATGCATATTCTTTTCTCATTATATGCGATTTTTGGTTTAAATTTTTGTATGTGGAATAAATCTAAACTCTTGTCCTTTAAGATAGAAATGAGTAAAATATATACACTGTAAATATAATAATTAACTCATTAAAACGCTCCATTTTCGCACATGCATGGGAGAACGTGGGGAGGGGGCGATCCTTGTTGATAGAGACACATGCATATATGTATAATCTTTATAAGTGATATTATCATGTAAATCTATTTCCTTGTCTACAACTAACTTTGAATTATGGTCTATAAATACTATAATATTAGTTCCCTTAGACCAGTATTCTGTACTTTCAATAAGGTCTCAGACAAAGTCCTAAAAATTGTGCAGCGATCTCGGGTCATTCCGATACTAACCGGAAAAGTCCAAGTATGTGTGATTCCCAAATACATTTATAATTTCTTATTTCTGTGTCTTATACCTTTTTAATTTTGTAAATAATCATATGACATTAAACCGACCCATTATAAACAGTACGAATAAAAATAGTTGAAGTATTTATTGAAGAGCTATGGTAATATCATTAAAGCATTAAAATCAAATTTTTTAGGTAAGAAAACCTAGAACGATTAGAGGGGACAATACAAAGTGTTCGGAGAATTATGAGTTCAATGATAGATATTGGTGTTGCAAAGAAAATGAACTGGCTAGGGGGGATGATAATTAAGAGAGCATTTTCCTTTTTCTCATTGAAAGATGTGTAGCTGTGTGAGTATTTTTTTTTTTTACAGATCTTTAAAAATATTATTTTATACTCCCAAGATATACTGATCTTGGTTTGTTTGTTTAAATGTGTGTGGATCGACAACTTACAAATTTAGTTAAACATGAAAAATATGTCTAATTGTCAAAGATCAGACATGTGTCAAGGGTAATGCATCAAAGTCACATCAATTAATTGAGCTAAGATTACAATTTTTTCCATACTTTTGACATAATGTTGCACAAATATCTTGTCATCAAAATGATTACAAGTAAAGTAAACCAAAAACACATATGTATTTTAATTTGTACATTAGTTTATCTAATTCTGTGCAATATAATATTTAAAATATTTTAATCCAACATAAATTGTGTAATTACCTGTAAATACCGAAACAGTATTTTTCTATCTTACTTCGAAGGGCAGATCAATCTAGTGACATAAATAAATCTCTGTAGTGTGCAGTTTTAAGTAATTAAAAACATTTTTTTTCACATAAAAAATAAAATCACAGTATCTTATTTTGACAGTAACTGTGAGAATGAATGGATGTCGCAAAGATGCAAAAGACAAAGATATCGAAGATGCTGAAAAGGACTAGTTATGATACTCTTGCGATAGGGATTGGGTTAGGAAGGAGAGGAAACAAAAAACGACAGCAGAATAGAAGGAGACCAACCGATGCATGGCCTTGAAATGACTTTGAAATTTTTGGTATCTGGTGAATTATCATTATAACCCTTTGACTTTATTTAGTTTTTAATTTTTGATTTAGTGTTTTTAATTCATTTCAATGATTTAATTAGTAAACCGTATCAAATTATCTTATTCTTGTTATTTCTCCCACTTATTGGAAATTAAAAATATGAGTCATTGGTTGAGAACATTGGGTCAACGTAAAACAAACTCTGGGCCAACGTAAAAAGACGCTGAGCAAATGTGAAAATAACACCGGCCCAAAATCAGAGAAACAAAGGACCGATGTAAGCTAGAGGAACGCTGGGCCAATGTAAAAGAAACTTTAAGCCAACGTAAAAGACACATTGGGCCAATGTGAAAGACATACTGGGCCAACATATGTCCAATATTTGTAGTCTGTACATAGGCCCAACATATATCCAAGGTTGGGCCAACATCCATGCAATCGGCGTCTAATGGTGGGCCAACGTAAATCCAATACGTTGGCCCAACATCAGCCCACTTTGCACTTAAACATTGAACAAACATTGGTATGCAACGTTGGGCCAACAAAATTAATATTGTTGGCATAACATTGGGCCACTATATTGATGCTGACTGGGAACTTTATTTCAACAAGTTGTGTCAACGAAAATATTATTCTATGTGGAGACTTTAACTGCCAGATAAATAATATTAATAATGTAGATAAAAGTGTAAATTATTTAGAAGATTTGATACGGCATTATAACATGGATGATATTTGGAAAAAACAAAATCCAGGTATGTCAGGTTTCACTTGGTGTGATGCAAAAAATAATCCTAAAAGTCGAATAGATTACGTTTTTATAAATAATTCTTTTTATTATAGCATAGCAGATATTAAGGTTAGAAAAATTCCAGTGACCATAGATACTTAAAATTTAGTTTTGATATCGATAAAACGAAAAAAGGTCCCGGATATTGGAAACTTAACGTTTCCTATCTCGATAATGAAAAACATAAAAAAGGTATTTTGGACATTATTCATTGTATAGATTCCACTTGAAATCCTATAATGACATGGGAATTAATTAAACGAGAGGTTAAAGATTTCTCTATTTATTTTGCAAAAAATGAACAAAAATCAATTAAGCAAAAGATAAGAGCAATAGAACGTGAAATAGAAGATATGGAGGAAGGAAACGTAGAAAATTTTGATTACAAAAGACTGAAAACTTTAGAAGCGGAACTTAATGCTATTTAAGACAGAAAATCTAAAGGTTCGCAGATAAGATCTAAAATTAAATGGATCGAGGAAGAGGAGAAAAATTCAAAAAAAAAATTTAAATTTAGAAAAGCGCAATCAATCATCAAAATTAATTAAAGAAATAAAAAACAAGAGAAGGAAACAAAATCAGTAAAACTAATGCCATTTTAGGTGAAATGTATTCTTTCTATAGCGAACTATATACGAGTAAAGACATTTCAAAAAATAAAATAGAAAAATATTTATCTGAGATAGACGATATCCCTAAATTAAGTGAAGAAGATAAGATATTGTTAGAAAAATTTCCAACATATGAAGAGTGAAAGGAAGCTGTTGATAGCATGAAAAAAGAAAAATCACCTGGACTAGATGGCCCTCCTAGTGAATTTTATCAATGTTTTTGGGGAAAACTTGGGCCCTTCTTTTATAAAGCACTTAATGATATTTTTGATTGTCTTACACACAGAAACTTTCTATTATATCACTGATTCACAAAAAGGGTGAAAAAGATATTTAAAAAATTATAGACCAATAAGTTTAACAAACACAAATTATAAAATCATTGCCTTTGGCTTTGCAAAAAGATTACAAAATATACTATATAAGTTGACTAATGAAAATCAAACTGCATACATAAAAGGGAGATATATCGATGAAAATGCTAGATTGGTACTTAACGTTTTTGAATACTGTGAAAGAGAAAATTCAGATGGTATTTTACTTTTCTTACACTTTGAAAAAGCCTTTGACTCGGT